AATCCGACAGATCTCAGGGAGCGCAGTCGGATGCCGCAATCAGAAAAAAATATTTAAAAAATTGGGCATTTTTTGGGAGCATCCGGTTTTGCCGGTTCATCCCCCCTGGACCGGTCCGGCCCCGGTCCAGGTAATCCGCCCGGTTGCTGGCCCAGCCCTGCCACCAGTACATTTCCCAGCCGTTTTTCCAAAGTCACAGCGTGGATCTGGCTGCAACTTTCGTGGCTCGGCCTCCAGAGAAAAATGGCTGGTGGTGCCAGCCAAAAAGGAGGCCTGTCCCAGTTCGTTTTCTTTTGGCAGGCAGGACATTTCCAGCCCTGGAGAAAAGTGGCTCGGAAGTGCTGGTGGTTTACGAAGGCTCAACAACAACATAAATTGACAAGCTTCGCTGTCCTGAGGGCGTTGGTGGCAATGGACATATGAAAACGAGAGGGAGGACACCATACAACAGAGTCATAATGACATGTGGATTTCATGAGGTTGAGTTATATGCACGAGCACTGTCACCCTATATGCCATGAGGACATTCACACAGCAGAGTTACTCCGCTAATGGATCATATTCAGGGAAAGTTGATTGCAAAACGAAGAGAGGGGTTCAGGTATGGGGGTGGGGAGTCGCAGTTTGGAGGAGGGCAGCAATGGGAGGAACAAACACTGGCGAAAGCACATAAGCACTTCAGAGTCCAGTTCAGACATCAAACCCACCCTAGGTGCATCACCCAGATCAACATTGATGAACTGGACCCGTCCTCGCTTGGCAAGACCCTGGAGCACTTCGACTGCACCCAAATTGCCCCTTGAAAGGTTATCCTGCATTTCACCCAGCAAGGACAGTCAAGACAACATCTCAACAGGGCCGTAAACTTTGACAATAGGAAGATAAAATCATATGCTATTGCCCCTGGAAGGGTTACTCCTTCATTTCATCCAGCAAGGAGACAGTCAAAACAAAATCTCGACTGTGTCGTAAACTTGGACACTGGGAAGACAAAACTATTTTAGATCATGAGATAGCATTGGCCTACAACGGTAAACTGCTAAACTGAACAAACACAACAAATAGGACCAAAGAGACATCTAAATGAGAGACCAAAACACACAAAGTTTCACACCACGGTGTAGGTGCATAAATCTGACGCAAAAATTGCAACGTGTCACCTGAGTCAAAACTTGTCACATCTTGCAGCTCTGGCATCTGAGCACCAGTCTGAACCTCCACCTTCACACACTGTCCACCATCAGACACACCCACACTTCACTCGCAAACATGTGCACACACACTAGGATCTACCCTGAATGTCCACGCACAAACACACTACTAACTACTAACTATGTCCCACTGGCGGCTATGTCCGCCGTCATCTTCTTCCTCACTGGCGGATATGGCCGCTTGCCCTCTTCACCTTCGGGCTTCTTGCTGACCGCCGGTGAACTCGACGCACAAGACACTTGGGCAGTGTTTCCACGTAGTTCCCAGATAATAAGTGACTGACTGATCGCTGCCTCTCTATTTTTACTGTTTCGTTTGGTGGTATGGGCCTGCCGATGTCCCAGGCCCTCAAGATGTGCAGTCCCACTCTGGTACTCGCTGCAAAAACGGACTGGACTGGGACTGCCCCTCTGTTTGCCCCTTCGGTGTCTGACTTGGGACTCTTGACCTTTCAGAAATCGACAGACTGCCTCCTGGCACTTCGAAAGGTCAAGTTGACTCTTTTGGAACTGTCTAGACTACGGCTGACTGACCTTTCGAGGGACGTAGAGCCAGACCCATGTACTGACCCTAAGACTGCTAATAGACAGGTCTATGGTTCAAGTCCACACGAAGCAAGCTACATACACGAAACGTTTATACACACGAAGCAAGCTACATACACGAAACGTTTATACATGGTTTTAGGGACAGGTTGCAGGTTCAAAACACACAGGGTCAATGGGGGACTGTACAGTGGGCTGGGAAAGGTATGGGGATCGAGTCTCGGTGTCTACAATATTGTGCGAACTGGGTGAAGCTCTTTCAAGTGGGGTAACGGAAAGATTATTCCAGTCGAGGACGTACTTTTTTTGTCCCGCCTATACGACATGGCAACATGTTATTAGCAGCCACAGCCGCAAGAACCCATACAGTATGTTCACACACCAGCTTACGGAGCATAGCATCATAAGTTATGGCAGTATAATGGATGCTTTTCCCGAGATGGACAGGCAAAGTCGCATGCTGTTAAGCTTGGAGGAGAGGAGGAGAAGGAGCGGAAAGCAGGAAACAGGAGGAAGAAAAGAGGAAGAGGAGGAAGGGAACAGGAGGTGAAGGAGGTAGAAGGGCAATGAAAGGAGGAAGAGGAAAAAGAGATAGGAGCAAACACAGGAAGAGTGCAAGGGGGGAAGGGAAGGGGAGAGAGGGGAGGAAGAGGAAAAAAAGAGAGAAGGAAACATAGGCGGAGCACGAGGGAGGAAGAGGATGAGAGGGGAAGTGAAGAACTGAGGAAGAGGAGGGAAGGAGAAAGGACATGACGACGGACAAGATTATGAAGCAGGAAGAGAAGGAGAAAGAAGAGGAGGAGAGGAGAACAGGAGTTGGCTACCCACCACTATTATCACCCTATGTCCATCCTCAAGAAGCCGCAGCACTGCATGTGAACCAATGTATCCAGCACCCCCCTGCAAAAAGGCATAGTGGATTTGTTATTCCATAAGAAGAAAGAAACACTGTCATTATCAAAACCTCCATACGTCACCTCCTGCTCAGACAGTCAACAAAATTGAACCGCCCTTCTGAAAGGAAGGAAAGAATCATACAATACGAATTACCCAGCAATGTGCACCCAGCTACACAATTGCAACTGCAGTCATGTGTCTGAAAGGATTTCACGCTGCAGACACCTGAGAGCCCGGCATCAAAGGTCCCAAAGTCCTGAAGGTTCTGAAGTCCCAAGTCCCAGCGTCACGTAGGGTAGGTTTGATAGGCTAGTTGAAGCGTCGTAGGTCGACTGGTTGCAGAGTTAGTCTGGTACCTGACAGCAAAGTCCAGAAACGTCCAGTCCAGTCCCAAGTCCACAAAATTGCAGTAAGTCCCAAGTCCACAAAATTGCAGTAAGTCCCAGGAAAGTCCAGAAGCCACCGGACCGACAAAATGAATGCAACAGACAGGCTGGGGCTGACCGGTGCCGGTCTGAGGCAGGCCAAGCCAAGTCCAATTCCTATATTTACAGTTACAGTGCAGCTGCCGGAGACGCTTGCTTAGTTGTGAGATGTGGAAGCGCTGCCGCTGCTTGTGTGTTGAGGCAACTTGGGCGTGACGTGCCTGGAGGTGGAAGAAGGCGCTGGAAGGGACTCCATAGCTAGGGTAGCGAAGTAGGAGATAGGGCAGCCATAGCTGCCAAGTGGGAGCTATCTCAGCGGGTGTATTCGGGGCGCGATCCAAGGCAGGAGAGAGAGAGAGAGAGAGAGAGAGAGAGAGAGAGAGAGAGAGAGAGAGAGAGAGAGAGAGAGAGGAGAGGGAGTTGTAGTCGAGCACATGCCTGGTTTGAGTCTGAGTGGATACAAGTGGCTGTGTTGTAACCCCGTTCATGAACGGGGGTGTCTATGACCAGGCCCGGTCATCTTTCACGAAACGCATGAACGACCCATCATGATCGCCATCACAAAGAGCGAGGAAGGCTTTTTTTTATCCCCACGTGGGAGGGTTATTTTATTTGACAGACTGGGGGGGCACTTCTCAAGGGAACCCCCCAATTTTTTTATTTTATTTTTTGGTAGTTGTTTTTAATTTTTTCTATCTATAATTGAAAAAAAGGGAAAAAAAATGTTGAAATGAGTGGGCAATGCCTTGTGGCCGTTTTCGACTTGGAAAACCTTTTTTTTCTTTGTCCATCTCAACAGTCTTGTGGACGCCATCAAGTCTATGACTTGTGGGAGTGACCGTCCGTATTGTGAAAGGAATATATAACATCAAAGGGGGTGGACGCAGTGTGCAAATGTAGGAGGATTGGGGAGGTACAGGGTGCTACCAAGGAGGGGGGCGAGGGCGGTGCAGCCAAAGTTTTTACTTTTTTTCCAGACCATAGGGGGGTTCTCACCACCTGACCAACCTTGCCGACCCCCACCCCCCAAAAATAAAAGTTTTGCAACCACCGCTAACCGAGGTCGAAGGGGGTCCAAATTTATTTACTTATTTTTTATTCGACCTCAGGGGCCTGTAGCCCCGGCCTGCACCACCCCGTTCCCACCCAGGCCCGGCACCGAGGCGTCCTCGAAGGGCCCAGGAACTGTGTGGCCGGAGACCATGAACCGCCGTTCACAGTTTTCCGTTCCCGTGACCGTCCATTCAGCAATCATTGGACGGTGTTGGTATCGGAGGAGAAACCCTTACAAGGGTATCTGCTCCATATTTTGAATATGGAGCAGATACTGTCCTATTTCAGAGAAACAATTCGAGTTGACGAGGCTGGCGCGTTTACCAGAAGTTTATTCAAACGTGACTCATGACTGAGAGGCTAAAACGTCTTTCAAACTTAAATCCAGATGTGTGCAGACGTTCGGGAATGGCAGTGCGTCTGGTTGTATTCTATTTCTAACAAAGCCACAGGGATGCACGGATGGAACAGTAAATCTTAAGTTGTCCTTTTTTTTTAAAATAAGGATGCGTAAGCTGTCCTATTTTTTTTATAAATAAGGACGTGTGGCTTAAGCGCCTAAGTAACTAAAACGAATCACCGCGCCAAGGTGCGTGGCCGCGGCATAGCAAGGAAAGGCCGGCCCTATTGCTGGAGGAGGCCAACAGGGTCCGACAAACCATAGGCAGGCAGAATGGCTGGGTGTGGGCTCTTCTTATAGAAGAGCTGCTCCTTTTACCTTCGTAAAAGGAGCTAGCCCGGTCAAGATCTGTATGGCGCGGTCAAAATGGCTGGGTGTGGGCTACAGTATCGGACTCTCACCCGGCAGACACCGGGATCAATCCTGACTGGCGTCAAACTGCGTTAGCTCCTTTTGATGGGAGCAGCCTAGTCAAGATCTGTATGGCACGGTCAATCTGGCCGCACGATCTTGTGGATCGTGCACCCGAAATCGGCCGCGCGCTCGTTAGCCCTGCGTGAGGATGGCACAGAAAAATTAAGAAAATGGTCCAAGTTTTTGAAACGAACCCAAGTTCGTTTTTCAATAGTTTGTGGCAGAGCCACGAGATAGCAGGGAGAAGTTGTTGACATAAGCCAAAGAAAGAAAGAAGGAAAGAAAGGGGGGGAAAAAAAAGAAAAAAAAGACGGAATAATTATAATTTGCAAACTACCCCCATAAGTTGAGATATACGCCAAAATGCCCCTAGAAGATGTGGGTAGACCGGAATGCCCCTCTGACAAAAAAAAAAATTTGTGAAATACCCATCTTTGCAATATACCCCTACCAGGTACCGTCCAACTTTGCAGAACGCCCCATACTTGCCAACTTTTCCTAGGCGCTGTTGCACAAGGCGAAGGCCCAAACAAGGAGGTCCCACACCCGCCTGACAGGGGCACAACACAGATTTTGGGCTAAAAGGGCATTCCCCTCTACCCACATCTTTCAGGGGCATTTTGGCATATATATCAACTTATGGAGGTGATCTGCAAATTATCCCAAAAAAAAACAAAAAAAACAAAAACAAACAAGAGCGCCAGATGGCTCAATTCAGGAGTCGTAACTCCTAGAGGGTCATGTCAAGCCTTGAAAACGGGCAGCAAGGTTGTTTAATGTTTTTCTTTGTTTTATTTTTTAGTTTTTGGTTCCCCCCTCCTGAGGTCATACTCACACGGCGACCCCAAATCCGCAAAATATGCGGATTTGGGAAGTGCCGATTTGAGGTTTTGGGCATGGTTCACGTCACACTGCTGTACCTTTTCAGGTGGGACAAGGTCGCGGCCGTCTGGAGAAATGGGGATTTCGTACTTGGCTGGTCACACAGCGCCATCCATAAATTGTGCAAGAACTTTTGAGAACGAATTTTTGCCAAATTTTGAAGAAAATGCAAAAAAAAAAAAGGGGCATTTGCGGTCACCTCCAGAGGTGACCACAAAATCCCTTGCCCCCCGGCTTCCCAGGCCGCTGACAAATGCGCACAGGAATAGTACATTTGCGAATTTGGTAGATCCGTGTGAACAGCCTTTTCCCCTTTGGGCGGGGGGGGGGGGGGGATTATAGGTCCCCGTGTGAGTATGCCCTGAATCTGAGTAGGAAAGTCATGTCGTCGGAGGGGGGCAGAGATATGGCGGAGTATCTTCCATGTTCTAGCATATTTGGTGAAGAGCATAACGAGTCATCATGTCCTTTTGAGTGCCCATACCCCGTGACTCCTAGAATCGAGCTCAGACCTGTATTTCAACAGGTCGTGGTGCCCCAATGAGCACCACTGGAAAGTGCCCTGCCAACGAGGCAGGGCAAAGTACATTCGTTTTAAAGTTTCTTTTCCTTCTTTTCCCTCTTTTATTTTTCCTTTTTCCTTTTCTTTTTTGGCCGTTTTTCCACCTTTGGAGTGTTGCCTGTTCGGTAGTAGTGAGAAAAATATACACGGCGGTGTATCTTTCCACTTTCCGGCGAAAGCACATCACGCAAGGAAGAAGACCGTGTCGAGCTCGACTCTAGTTCGACTTTGTGAAGTGACGTGGGGGAGGATTGAGGGGGCGAACGTTCGTTTTTAACGGCGAGCTGCCCCATGAAGGAAAACAAGGGGGGCATAGGAGAGAAAGAGAAGGGGGAGGAGAATACAATGGCCACAAACATGGCCACGAAGTGNAGGGGGGGTTAGGAGAGAAAGAGAAGGGGGAGGAGAATACAATGGCCACAAACATGGCCACGAAGTGGCCCTGGGTGCACACTGCCTAAGTGTGAGCGTGACCACCCAGGTGAGGTAAGTGAAATTGAATGTGCCATTTCTGCAACCTAACTTTGGAAAAAAGTCAAATAAAATTAAGTGTTTCAAAAATGCCAGACTCTCAGCTATCTGATGAAATCCCGAGATAGCTGAGTTAAAGAAAAGAAAAATAAAAAAGGAGGCAGTTGAAGGTATCTGCCTCCTTGAGTGTGTGGCTGAGGTGTGGCCACAATGGGCCCTTGATCTTACCTAAGGTCAAGGGCTTTGCATGAGCTGCGCGATTTTGCCTGTGGGCTAAAGTGCTGGCCACCATCCTCCAGTAACTACAAAAGACATCACTCCACCCTGCTGCCTCACAAATGTGGCAGTGCAGTTGATGCTCTCACTCATTTGAGTGTTGGCCAGATGCTGCACTACCTTGAGGGAGCTCAAGGAAGAGGTGCTGGTAATGGAGAATGAGGGGGAGGTCTGCACGTAGAGGAGAGGTACTGCTGAGGGAGCAGGCCAGGGCAGCCATAGCTAAGACCGGAAAAACAGAGACAAAAAATAGGCTCAATTGACAGTAAGGAAAAGACAGAAAAGAGACCGGATAGTTCAAGCAAAGTCAAGTCGCTAACACTCATAGCTTCTAAGGAAAAAACAGTCTAGAATAGGCTAGCTTAAGCAGGGGTGAAGATCGGTACATCCTCCTTCAAGGAAGTAATCAATGCCGTCTTCTGGGCCTCCACGCCAGAAGGGGGAGGAGTGTGAGTAACCATTGTACTATCTTGGACTTGCCGGGGGAATAGGAACTGAACTGATGCTCCCCAGAATGGGAAAGAAGCCAGAACCATAAGGGCTGTGAGTTTTTGCCCGACCTCTATGTTTGTGTTGCGCAACGACGCAGTGCTTTAAGGGGAGATGCTGCCCGATTGCCAGCACGCCATCTGCGGGGATTTGCAGGAGGAGGTGTTGCTCAATCAATGGCACGGCAACGATGGTACATCCGGTGGGACCATGCTGATGAATTTTTTTTCACCGGTCGGTGGCATTATTTTGAGGGAAAGTGCTGTCGAAAATGTGTGGTGCAGTGGGCCTTTCTTTGTTGGGCGCGATTGGGTATATGGTGTTGGGCGACCGTGGTACTGGTTTTTGACGGTGAGGCGGGTGCGTGGCTGAGGTGCGGCCACAATGGGCCCTTGATCTTACCTCAGGTCAAGGGCTCTGCATGAGCCGCGATTTTGTATGTGGGCTAGAGTGTTGGCCACCACCCTGCAGTAGCTACAAAAGACAACACTCCACCCTGCTGCCTCACAAATGTGGCAGTGCTGTTGATGCTCTCACTCGTTTAAGTGTTGGCCAGATGCTGCACTACCTTGAGGGAGCTCGAGGAAGAGGTGCTGGTGCTGGAGAGTGAGGGGGAGGTCTGAAAGTAGAGGAGAGGTACTGCTGAGGGAGAAGGCGAGGGCAGCCATAGCTAAGGGCAGGGAGCTTTTGCCCGACCTCTATGCTAGTGCTGCGGCGTCGGGGACCAGTTGCATGGCAAGCAGCACCCATTCCAGTGGGGTTATGCTGTTGGATTGTCGGCGTGGCAACGACACAAGGCTTAGGGGAGATGCTGCCCGACTGCCAGCATGCCATCTACAGGGATTTGCAGGAGGAGGTGTTACTCGATCAATGGCACAGCAATGGTGGTACATCCAGTGGGACCATACAGATGAAATTTGTTGGACCGGTGAATGGCACTATTTTGAGGGAAAGTGCAGTGGGCCCTTCTTTGTTGGGAGCAATCGGGTGGTGGTGTTGGGCAACCGTGATACTGGTTTTTAACGGCGAGGCGGACGGTGGTTCTGCCATTATTTTTTGTGAAGTGATGTGCGGCAACCGTCATACACTTCAATGTGATCCGGAGGTGGTACGGGTGCTGGCGCACTTTCTGGCCCGGTTTGGAGGGTCGTACCGTGCGGGGTTATTTTTTCCCGCGGTTTAGCGCAAGACGTCAACATTTGGGACGGAACAACTGACATTGTTTTTGCAGACATTGAGACGGATCAAGCAACTGAGGAGAGGTTTCAATTTTACCCTAATTTTGCCAAGGAGGAAACTGAATTAGCGACCTTTGAAGTAATCGTTTTAAGGTGTCAATGTCATATGGGAAATCGGTGCCTTGTGAAGTCTGGTCCAATGAAAAACTAGTTCAAAGTGGTCGCACGTAGGCGCCACTTGCGCGGATGGGTTTCGAACCACAAGAATCGCGGACCAAGGGTGGATAGATCAGGTGACAATTCTCCTTACGCAAAGGCAAGAACATTTGTGAGCTTTCAATATCAAGAAAAGCAATTAAGTCAGGAGATTGTTATCGGACATGCAACACTTCAAGTAATCCACCTGATCAAGAATCATTCACTAAGTAAATTGTCATTTTAGGAGCTCATTGACAAGTGGTGACAGGAGAGTATTCCTTATCTTCGGTCAATATGGGAATGAAATGGAAAACCTTTGGCAACTCATCTCATCAAGTTAACATTTAGGCAGTTCGGTTACCTTATCGGTTGAATACTGATTATTGTTTAAGCTAACTTTTGGTTGACGGCTCTATATATCGTTTCAACTTATGTTGAATCGTATATACCTATCGGCTACCATCAATTCGTTTTGATGTAAATGAGGGCGATTATTATCACCTTCTTTTGACTGGCATCTAATGGACTAGGATTATTTTCTGGGTTTTACGCTTTGTTGAGACCGTCCTAGTCGACCGACGTTCGCTTCGTAACTAGGGAATCAGCTCCCTAGAAAAAGGACGACATTCGGGTTCAAACGACGTTCTAACCACGACTACCTATACTGCAGCAAAGCAAGCAAAAG